AAACTTTTAAAAAATCCTCAACCCCTGAAATTCCACGCTTCCTAATTCACTCCCTAGGAATTTCCAAAGATATCGTTCATCGACGATAAACCGTTTCGATTCAATCGATATTATTTATCCTTTTAAGGGATAAAGGGGGAGGGGTGAAAAATCTACGTGACGGAATTAACGTGAATAAACAAGATCCACTTAATTAAGGAGTCGTGCAGTCGATGCCGAGGAGAGGATTGGCGGCCTGTTACGCACCGTTTCGTCGTTCAACTCTTTTTTAAAGGCCTTTAAAGCCTTAAGGCGCCTATCTAATTATTCACTTTCTCCGACGTCTCGCGGTGAAACGAACGAGATTTACAGGCTCGCGTCCCGCTCGATGTAATTTCGACGATAGTTTCCAACCGGTCAGATACGACAATACGACTCGGGGCCGATTCCCAGGCTTCCGGGTTCTTCTTGTCTCGTCTCGTCTCGTCTCGCCGCTCGTTTATCCCGCCCTTCTAACGATCCCCTGCCTAACAAGCCAATGTATACAAAACCACACGCACGCGCGCACACTGATTTCGAATGAAATTTATACGAGAGTTAGTTAGTTACTTAGTTAGTTAGTTAGTTAGTTGGCTAGTTTCTCGAAAAGAATATATGATAGTATATATGATAACGATGTAGCGAAATAAAGAAAGACACGTGTCTTTTTGAAATGATATTAATATTTTCGAAATATTTAAAAAAAAAGAAAAATATTTTCCAAAAGAACGTATCGATTATTCTTCCTCAAATATCGATATAATTTCTTAGAAATTCTTATTTTTCTTTCGTCCCTCCCTCGGTTATTCTTTTTCGAGAATTGAAAAATCTCTCGTATTTGAATTTGATCGAAATCGGTAGATACACGTTTCTTTTCAAATTTTTCATTCGGTTTGAAGGCGCCAGTTTCGAGAAATAATTGGACGCTTTTTTTTTTTTTTTACATTCCATTAGAACGAAACGACGTCTGAATTCGAGATAAATCAGGGGAGAGTTATTATATCATACACGTGGCGTATATCCTTTTCGCTAAACGGAACGATAGCTGGCGTTTAATGAGAGTAATTTACGGAATGTATAGGGCTCTAAACCGTTGGAATTTAATATCTCTCTCTCTCTCTCTCTGCGTTTCGGGATGATATACGGCCGTTTAGTGACGCAAGAGATAAATTCGAATCGGGGCGATTTTTTTCGCGCGGTTATGTAAACTTATTCTTATCTATTTTGTAACTCTCTCGACGCACTTTTGTCCCCATTGTTTGTAGTCTTCTCGCTTCCTACTCCCCTTCCCTTCTTCCTCGATGAGGAAAGAAAAATTTTTTATTCTTCCACGATGGAACGGAACAAACATATTTCCTTAATTCGATCCCGCGCATATCTTTTATTTACACTCTTTCCTTCATCGTTATTGCAAATGTTACAAGCAAGGCGATAATAAATAACGGCGGAACATTATCTATTATCCTTTCCGTATTCTTCGATATATCATTTTCTCTCCAACTCCTAACAGATGTTTCAAACTTCTTGCGTACACCGTTTCTTCTTCTCGTACACGTAAGAGTAAAATAAGAAGGAAAAAAAAAAAAAGAAACCTTCCTTCCTTCCTTTGGACTCCATTCGTAGATTTACACAACTCCCAAGCGTTGCATAAGATAGAAACAATAAACGACGAGTCATCCGTCATAATGGAAACGACACCGGGATCAAGGTATCCACTTTTCCACAATCGTAATAAAGATTATATTTTTCCCTCCCCTCCTTTCTCGTTTCCTTGTTGAAAAGCGTGTTCCTCGAGCAGCATCATCCGAACCGGAAGAGGAATCTCTCTCCATTATTCGCGGGAAAAAGGAGAGAGAGAGGGAGAGAGAGAGAGAGAGGGGAAAAAAAGAGCAGTCGCGGAAGAGCAGTCACAGCTGTCATAGGAAATCAAGGGAGAGTGTGTTGATCGAGGCCAAACACGGCCGTCCGTATGAAACCGCTTTCTACTCGTACTACTCTTTCTTCGACAATCTCGAGTCCCCTCGATTCGATAATCGATCGTTTAAACTCGCTCTTCACGCATCGAACGAACGCCGCCGATCGAATCTCGAAGCGTGTACTATAATAACAATATACGCGCTTCCAATCGATTCGAGCTGCGCGATAACTCTTCCCTCGTGATGACGGCTCGATCAGGAAATTGTTTCCGAACAACCGGTCGCTCGGATTCAATGAAAACTCGACTCGAAAAATATTAAACCTCGCTACGTGATCATTCAAACGTGTTCGTTTCAAATAAAAAAAAAAAAAAAAAAAAAAAGGAATTAGAAATATCTCAATTTCCCAAATTTCCACTTACTTCGTGGATACTAGACACGATTAATAAATTGATTGATAAAACAATAAATTCGCAACATCTATCGAGATGTTGAAAAAGACTACTTCACAATTCGTCTCGATTCGTGCCACTCAATCGAGAATTAAGCGAGGACAAACGTAAAAA